GACTCTACCTTTGCATTATTTAATTAAAATTGCATAAAAAACAACAACAACAAAAGAAAGAAAAACAAACAAAAAACAAAACCATTTAATTGTTGGGCTCTGACTCATACTTTTCTTTGCTGCCACAGCCACCCTGGAGGGAGCTCTTATCACAGTGGTTCTCAATCTTCCTAATGCTGTGAACCTTTAACACAGTTCCTCATGTTGTGGTGACCTCCAACCATAAAATGATTTTTGTTGCTAACTTCCTGTCATTTTGCTACTGTTATGAATCAGGCAACCCCTGTGAAAGGGTTGTTCGTCCCCCCAAAGGGGTTGAGAGCCACTGTTTTTCAGATGGTGAAGCTACGAGACGGCAGAGCCTCAGTGGGCCCCTCACTCGCCCTTCCTGTACGTGCAGCACGGGTCAGAAGTAAAGGCTGAGCGTTCACACTGAGGGTGTCAGAGTCCACCTGTCCCGGCCACCAGCCTAAGCTGTTCTGACTACAGAGACTGCATTTATTGACGAAGGAAGGACAACTCTATGTGTAATACGGGGACTTCCGATTCATGTGTACTCCAATTCACCTCGAAGTTTTCTTTCCTAATCATCAGAATGTGAATGTTTTCTTTAGATATTTCTTATATTTGTTTCTTTTCTTTCTTTTATTCCTAGTAGTCATTTATTTCTATTGACATTATCACTGAGATCATGTACCAGATTTTATTATATTTTTCCTCACAATGGAAAGAGCTTTTAAAAAAGAACTATGTAAGTAATATTTGTCCATTGCAAAAACAAAGTGGAGCGATACATAAAAGGATAAAGCACGACCATCACAATCACTGCAAACCTGCCCCCGCACAGACACACGGTGATTTCTGCTGTTCTAGGATCCGTCTTTCCCGCCTCAGCACACACAGGGGCCACTACACCTTCTAACCGGACGTCTGCTCACATGACAGCGATTCTTCCCGTGATGTGTAAACACCTGTTAGCCTGTTAGGATGTCCAGAAACACACGCAGTACTAGTGGGGACAGTGGATATTCTTCTCTTACTCCTGACTCTACTGGAATTGCACCGAGTGGCTGTTGTGTGGACTCCATCTCTGGCAATAGTTCACATGTAGGAACATAGTATGTTGACAACATTCCTCAACCTGCCTTTATATTTGAACAGAAACAGAACAGCAGAATCTTTGCTAATTCGAAAGTGACCTTAATTACACAAATGAGTCTAGCTTATCACTTCATCTCTATCACGGCAGGCAGTACAGGGCGCAGTACTAACCTCGCCTGCGGACAGCTTTTCCCTGACGTTTTTCCAGTAAATGTCTTTGTTTCCAGTGTTAGTGAAAAACAGGAGCCACTCCGCAAAGTCTTCTTTTCTCATGAAGTTTAAACCTCTAGAAAATTGAAGGAATTCCATTTCTTGGACCTCTGTTTGTAGATTTTCCATAAACCTGAATGTCAGAATATAAAATATCGGTGACACAATGGCACTTAATTTTGATATGATAAAGCTGTAAGAATAAGTACAACTATTTTATAATGCGAGCTTACTTTCGTTAGTCACAAGAACAGTATGCCCTGAGGTACCTCCTCGGTGCCGGAATTAACTCCATGGCAGTGGGCCTGCTTTGAAACGCTGTCTTGGCAGCCCCGTCAGCAGTGCACAGTGACAGCGCAGCGTGCAAAGAGAACCAGAAGCGATGCAGCGCAGCCTTGTTGGCATGAACCCCACCGCAAGACAGGCAGCAAGCAGAGCATGTTTGGGGGACAGATGTGGCTGCCTGCTTCGTTACAAACGTATGCTCTTGGAAACCTTGTACCTAAACTTACACTACACAACCAGTCCAAGCTGTTTGTTTTATTTTGTTTTGGTCAAAATATACACAAAATATCTGCTAACAATAATCACCCATTTAAGATAAAATAGTAGCATTTGCCCCCCTCACCCCCAAAACTCCAGAGAGCTAGTAAAGGAGGAGAAAGAGAAACAGGAAATGGGGCTTGTGTCTGGCTAACTCCAGTTCATCTGCCAAGATGTCCCAGGTGTCATTCCCTCCAGAGTATCTCTCTGGATCACCTAATTCTTACTTTCCAATGCAGGTGCTTCAAGGTGCCCGCAGGACACTGAGTGTTAGCACTGGGCAGCTCACAGCAAAGTTGGCGGCTTAAACCCACGGTCATTCCTCAGGGGAAAGACGAGGCCGTCTGCTCTGGGAGAATTTGCAGTCAGAGCGGCTTGACGACTGGTGGTGACGCTGGACAACCTCTATCACAGAACTGACGACACGTGCAAATGCTCTTATGCACGTGTGCTTCTCCTCGTAGTCCCCACGAGACAGGGGCTGGAACACAGCGGCATAGAAGGGCCTCAATCAATCTTTACCGAGTTGCACAGAGTACAAGATGCAGTGTGTTTCTGCCTCCATTCTGTCTGGCCTTCCGGCATTTGTTAAAAGATTTGGTAGAGGAGAGGCAGAGGGAGCAGGAGCCATTCGTTTTGCTTGGAGTGATTACTGGGAATGCACCCTGGTGGTGCAGAGGGTAAATGTTTTGCTTCTGTGATGGTCAGGTTCTCAGCAGTTTGGCAGCTAGGCCCTGGGAACCCTCTCTGATGTGACCTAACACAGCATAGTGTCCTGCAGCGGCCACATGGCTTCAAGATGAAGGTGGAGTGCAAGTGCAAGGGTGCCCCCTCCTGGATGAATCAGGCGGCAGAGCGATACACACAAGGATTATACGCCCAATCACTGGTTTTGCTTCTCTAGTGAAGCCGGCCTAACCCAGCTGCGGATCAAAAGGTCAGTGTTTCAAACCCACCATGGGAAAAAGGACCTGGCCATGTGCCGGTCAAGACAGCCGCCTGGCAGACCCTGAGGTGAGTCCTCTTTGTCCCGTGGGTGGCTGGCAAACAGGAACTGACATTCTTAGGGGAGAGTCCCTGAGTGGTACAAAGGGTTACCACGTTACTGAAAGGTTGACTTTCAAGTCAGCCCCGAGGCGCTCTGGGAGAAAGGCCTGGTGATTGACTGCTGAAAAATCAGCCACTGAACATCTTTACCGCTGCAGAGTCACAACCAATTCCAAAGCAACTGATTCATCTTACTGGGGAAAGCTAAGCATGTACTCGTTTCAGTATCTGTAATAATCACATACACTGTTCTTCACGTTCTACAGGTGAAAAATGAATTCAGATAGGTTGTCATGGGTTGAATTGTGTCCCCTCAAAATATGTGTGAACTTGTTGGGGCCATGATTCCTAGTAGCTTGGCAGTTATGTAATGTGAGAGAATACATTTGTTTGCTGAAGCCATCTATTTGTGGTAAACTGATACAACAATGCTGGCTAACCAAGCCAGAGGTTAAGTAAGTTGCCTGGTGTTACTATAGAGATGGGTGGGGCAGTATTTGTCCTCACTCTTTCTGGCGCCAGTGCCTATCTCTTTCCAACGCCATACAGGAAATTAGCTAGAAGCTTTGTTGATTCTGGCTACCTCTTAAGTACCTATACTATATACTTAAGCGCGTTTGTGCGCGCGCACACACGCGGAAGCATGGTCGTTGAGTGATTGTACCCATGGCCTCAAGTAATGAATGGCCTTTCCAGGTTCCTGGCTTCCCCCTCTAACCCCAGCATTTCCTCCCATTCTGACCTGGGGGCAACGTGTCTTGCTCTGGCCAATGGAACACTAGCAAACTTGAAGCTGGCAAAGGCTTAAACAAAATTCACGTCTTTTCTACTTTTAGGGCCATGAGGCGGTGTGCCTGCTAGAGCAGGACTCGGCAAACTATGACTCACAGAATAAATCCCATGTACTGCCTGGGATGGTTAGGGATTATGTCCATTAGACACTCCTGGATAAGGGAGTGTAAGACCCAACTCATCAATTGGGTTGCAGCCTGATGATACCTCCTTGGTATCCTAAGTCTTTTGTATGAGAGAGAGATTGGAAATTCTCTGTGTGCCCCTTAACCTTCCTGCTTGCTGGGACTCTGCCTGCCTCCCATCCACACAACTGTGCACCCACTGGCCTGTGACTGTCGCATCCGGTTTCACCTTTCTGCACCACTGGCTTGCGGCTGTGTGGGTCTGAAGGGTGCCTCGGTCTGCATGAGACTAATGGGCGTGAGTGGGGGGGGGCGGGCGGGGAGGGATGCCTACACATAAAATTACTTCTTGATGTAAAGCTCATTCTTAAAACAGATAGATGAGTGTCACTGGATCTGTTTCCCTAGACAAACAGGCCTAACATATTGCCTGTTCTGTGAAGTTCTACCGGAATATATTCCTTTGTTAACATATTGCTATGGCTGCTTTTGCAAAAAGGTGGTAGAGCTGTGTCGTACCATCTGCCCCTTCACAGAAAGTGTGCCCAGCCTTGCACTTGTGGGTCAGAGGCCACATGGAACAGAGCTGAACTGACCCAGTTGGGACCATCATAGGACAGTCGGCTGCCAGTCAACCCATCAGCTGACTGTAGCTATACAATTGAGTCCTGTTAAGATCAGTGGCCTTTGCTCAGATCAGGAGAACTATCCAATGATCCAAAGACTCATGGAAATAGTTAATACTCGTGTTACTGTAGTTAAGACCAGTTATATTGCGGCGAGTGGTTCTGCAGTAGAGCTAATGGATACAATAGATGTTTCTCGATTAGCTGCTAACAATACATTGTTAAAGAGAATCACTGTATTCTATAAGAGATATTGGTTAGATAGATTTTGAGCACGGTAACTATTGTGATTGAATTTTGTGTCCAAACCGCCCCCCCCCACAACACACACACTGCCAAGCTATGTATGAAAGCCCTGACCCCCCCTTTTTTTTTTAACATTTTATTAGGGGCTCTTACAACTGTTATCGCAATCCATACACACATCAATTGTGTAAAGCACATTTGTACATCATTCTCAAAACATTTTCTCTCCACTTAAACCCCCGACATTAGGTCCTCATTTTTCCCCTTCCTCCCTGCTCCCCCCTCCCTCATGAGCCCTTGATAGTTTATAAATTGGTATTTTGTCATATTTTGCCCTGTCCGACGTCTCCCTTCACCCACTTTTCGGTTGTCCGTCCCCCAGGGAGGTCACATATAGTTCCTTGTAATCGGTTCCCTCTTTCCTACCCACTCTCCCTTTACCCTCCCTGTTTCGCCACTCACACCACTGGTCCTGTAGGGCTCATCCACCCTGGATTCCCTGGATTTTCAGTTCCTATCTGTACCAGTGTACCTCCTCTGGTCTAGCCTGCAAGGTCGAATTTGAGTCATGGTAGTGGGAGCGGGCAGGAAACATTTAGGAACTAGAGGAAAGTTGTATTTCTCATCGTTGTTACATCGCACCCTGACTGGCTCATCTCCTCCCCAAGACCCCTCTGCAAGGGGACCTCCAGTGGCCTACTAATAGCCCTGACCCTTATAGCTGTGATATGACCCTGTTTGGAACAGTGGGGCTTCTTTTGTTACGTTAACGAGGCAATTACCAGCACAGGGTGAGCTACACACGCTATCATTTTTGAGTATAAAAAGAGCTTAATGGACACAGAACCACACACGGGAAAGCAATGAACATGCAGGCACTTCTGGGCTGATGCCCTGGCTTAGACTTCTAGCCTTCAAAAATGAGGCGAACACCTTCTTTTCAAGACAGACACTCCGAGTATTTCTGCTGTGGCAGCACAAGGTAACTAGGTCAGTGACTCTAATATATACTGGTAGGTTTTGTTTTCAAGGACAAATATACTACATCGACCCATAAAAAGCACAAGGTGGCCTCAGAACAGTCACAAGAAACATCCATTTTCTCTTAATTCCACTTTCCCACTAGCTTCGGAAACCCTGGTATCTAGCCACATGGCCTGCAATTCAGGGTGATGAACACAGTCCGTTGCTTGTTCATGTCTTACTTCTAGTATGTCCCTTAGTGAATCCAAACACTGGATTTACCTCCGAAATTCTTTATAATGAAGTTTCCTTTCTCCTCTTTTTCCAAAGAAACATATCTGAAGAGTTGTGTTGATTTCAGATTCTTTTGCTTCCTATAAAAAATATACAATAATTTCAGATCATTAGAAACAAGAACAAAAATGAATCCCGGAGACGGGCACTTTTCAGACAATATGCACACATAAGCCTTACGACAGACAAGCTAGCAAGCCAATGATGGGCGAGGGGTTCTAGTCATTCTTTCTGAAAGTTCCTTTGCTTAGGTAGGAGAAAAACAAGGGCTACAATATCCAGGGTAGAATTTAGCAGTAAACAAAATCCTAGATCAAGACAAAAAGACAGCTTAAGAATAATAGTTTAAAAAGTATTCTATGAAAACATGACCCTAGGCGCTTTCTAGTGAAGCAACATTCAGAAAACTGAAGCAGGAAGATCTCTGAGCTCTTGCTCAAAGGTTAAACACACTGGGAAAACAATTGCTTTTCTTAATTATGTTATGTACTGCTATTGAGTTGATTCTTATTCATAGCAACTCCATAAGTAGGTGAGCTTGCCACTTAAAAGTAATGGAGTTAGGCTCACAGATTTGTCTTCCGCCTTCCATTCTTTAATAAAATTAACAGAAAGAAAGGCCAATCCAAACAAAGCTGCCCAAAGCTGAGCATCAGCAGCTGAACCCTGAAAAGGGCCAGAAGTTTAAGTCATGTTTGGAAAAACTGCAGCCAGAGAAAGGGAATAAGAGCCAGGTGTTTGATGGTCCAGCATGTCTCCTCATCCTGCCCCAACCCAGCTTCTGAGAGACGGCAGGAGAGGGTCCGACAGGACATCCTGTCACGAGAACAGCAGTCCAACCTTCAGGTTGGGTATCAGTAGGTTAATGAGGGGAGACAACTCAGAAAAATCCCTCGGAGAACTTGTACACAGCTTGGTGAGACTTGGGCAGAGAGAGAGCGGGCATGCTTATTCAACACGGTTAAAACAGCAAATTGTTACTGGAATCTGGCAATATATCAAGTCTTACAAAATGCTGTCTGACCCAATGATCGGATTTCTGGAGACTGGGACTAGATCCACTATTTAGATGTGCGCTGCAGCAGGCCAGTGGTCAGCACAAGGTGCCCCTGTCCTCTCGCGTGCGCTGCTGCTTTACTAGGCGGTGCAGACACCCGTGCGGGGCAGAGTGACCTTTACCTAAAGGACGGCTAGCTGTGCCCTCACAGTTGCCGTGAGGTGGTCTCGAAGATGAGAGGGTCTTGTTAATTTGGGTGCCTTGAACCATCCCAGACGGTCGGAGGTGTAGCGTCATGTGGTATCAGCTGGTCCTGATGGGGCTGGAGACTGAAGTCAGTCACACAGGTGGCCAGGCAAGGTTAAGTGACCACGCCTCAGCAAAAACAGCAGAGACTTAGGTCTGGTTCTGCGGAGCTTCCCTGATTGGCACCTCACCTCTTTGTTACGTGTTGCTGCCAGGAGTTGGTGTCATCTAGGACTCCACTAGCAGAGGACAACCGGAAGCTCCACTCATGAGCTTCCCTGCACTCTCTTGCCACAGGTCTCGTCCCTATAATACACCGGTGTGAGAGCAGCGGCTCTCAGTCAGTTCTGGTGCACACTGAACCTGATGACCACGAGACTTCCAAGAGTGGCAGAAATAAGGAAACTATTGAGGACCCTTGAACTGTACAGCAGTACCAGAAGTGGGAGGGGTGTGTAGCCTATTGCCTACCTTCATCCAACCTTAAAGAGACTGTGTCGGTTAAGAGTGCAGAGGAGGGGGGATAGTTCAACTAACATGTCCAAGGTGTTGTGGAGTAAAATTTCTTAATATGGCCCTCTACTCAAGTCCCTGTAATTCCCCCTGAAGGATCCGGTGAGACTTTGCATATAGGCCATGTGGAACACTAATAGAGGGGATTGGCCAGTTTTTGCCCCCAGCTAAACAGAGGAGCCCTTGTTTGAAACAGCAGTAGAGGAGAGGAACCCGAGGGCCTTGGAAGAGCAGGTACGAGATCTCTGTCTGAAGTGGCAGAGGCATCGCAGGCTGGGTCACCAAGACTCCGTATCTGGCCTGAGACTACGGAGCTATGGGATAGAGACAGGCAGGCTGGCTTCCTGGGCCATGGGGCGAAGGCCAAGGGACCACGTGGCTGAGAGACTGTGAACGGAGAAAGAGACATGGCTGCTGGATGAGGAGACTAAGGACTGTCCTTTCTGTTTGCTGATCCTACCTTGGGTAACTTACGGGCTTTCCTAATAAACTTTGTTAATCGGGAGTATTCTCTGTGAGCTCTGTGGTCACTGCCACGAATTATGGAAAAGCAGCATAGCCATGGAGCGGCGTGGAGGCATGCTTGGTGTCAGAAATGGTAAGGAAGGATGGACCTGGCAGGTCTGTCTGACTCTTGCCTGAGGTCTGAAGCCACAGGAGGTTGGATAGGTTCTCTTCCGCTAGACCTAGCAAAGGCTGGAGCAGAAATGACCATGTATTATACAGGATACTATGAAAACACATAGGGAGTATACACCAGGTGGACGTTGACAGAAACCCACCATAGGGCAGTTCAGAGAAAAAAATTTTTAAGTGATTTTAATCATAATTTAATTTGGTTCATATGTATAAAAGCTGCTATCAATACAGATGTGGATTTTCAGTGTATTATCAGGAAAGGGACTAATGGTTTACAATGCCTCCAACGCAGAATAAGCATGCCCAGATCTGAAGCAGACACTTCAATAAAGATGATTCAGAAATTTAAGAAAAGTTACTGGAAAGCATATTGTAGAATTAGAATAGATTGAAAGAATATGACCTAGAAGACATATTTTACTGATGAGAATGAAAACCAAGTACTTTGGAAGCTATTTGTCAGGGTTATCAAAAGCTTATCGATAATTTAAACAATTTGTCTTTTGCTCCAGCAGTTGGCTGAGAAATGACCTTCTGAGCATTGACTAGTTCCAGGTTCTTCACTGCAGCACCGTGTGCTCCAGGTTTCAAAAGTTGGAAACAGCCTCCATTCAACAAAGGACGATGCAGGCAGGCAGAGGAACGAGACACTGAGGCACATGACCTGAACAGGAGAGGCATCGGGACCAATGTCCAACATGCTACTGTTTGCATAAGAAGGGAAAAAAAATAGATGTACTCATTTCTATATGAAGGGGTTTCAATGAGTTTGTGGCAAAGGCTAGTATTTTCAATTCCATTTTTCCCTTTTGGAATTTCCTCGCATATGCAAACACTTTCCCCCTCCAGTCAATGACTTGGAGCCATTATGGAAAAATCAATCGGCTCTGTTGGTGTGGATCCTTTACTGGGTTCCATCAATCTCCTTGTCTAGCTGGACGCTGATATCACACTGTCAGCATTACTATCACTGAAAGTAAGTGGTGTGAGGTCTCCTGCTTTGTGCTTGTCTCTCTGGAGGCCGGCCTGGTTGTCCTAGGTCCCTAGTTGTTTACTACATGCAAACACGGGAGCGGAAGCACCGCTGCTGACGGAGGAAAACCATGGGGGTGGGAGGAAAGCTCTGCGGCACACACTCTTGGTGTGTCCTGGCAGTGTGAGCCTTGTGAACACCTCTCTTCAAAACATTAAAAAAATTAGTTAATGAACTAAGTGGCCAGTACATCTTACCATCTTTCTAGGAACACTTATTTGAACAAACAGAGCGGAGCAGCTGTCGTAACTCTCACGTTTGAAAATACTTATCTGCACGTACCTACCTGGCTGTCTGCTGCATTCCCTAGAGTTGTCTTCAAGTCATCTTGCTTGCTTATGATCCTCTGCAGCTACAAAGACAGTAAACACACGGTCACACGTGTTCAGGCATTTTCAAAACTCAAACAGATCCCAAATGCTGATAAAACATGTAGTAGTAACTTTTGGCACATTAACTTACATTCTTTCTCTACTGTAACTCTTAATACTTTTCCCTAAGATTCTGTAAGAATTAAAGGAGAAAACATACAAAAGTATTGACATTATCATTATAATGTGACTCAAGTTTTCTCCTAAGAAAGTTAGTTAACTTAATACATGCATGTTCTATAGGCATCATTTTACAAGCGTCATGAAGAACCAGGGTCCTTCCCTACAGAAACTTTTGAGTCATAATTAATTTTTTTCTATGGATCATTGGTAGTTGATGGCTGTATTTTCAAGTATATAGTCTTAAAAAATTATCTAGGGTGGAGGGAGGGTGAGGTGGAAAGTGGGAACTGATTACAAGGATCTACATATAACCTCCTC